GCATCAATTAAGAAGGGTAGGAGTATAGGCAGGAGGGAGATGGGGTAGGAAGAATCACTATGTTCCTAAATTTGAATAGATGAAATGCATGAAGTTTGTATTCCTTAAATAATTTTTTTAAAAAAAGAGCACAACTAATTTCATAATATGTCAATATGTTCAGGTGGGAAGGAAAAGTGGAATATTTTCAAAAATGGAGAGTGGCAAGATGGCGGAATAGGAAGGGAGCACACTGATAGTCCGGGAAGAGACAGTTTAATAAAAGTGAAGATACTGCAGGTTCAAGGAAGAGTAGGGGAAGAAACAGCAGTGGAAACTCTTGTGGAACTAGTGATTCACAGTGGACCTGTGTGGAGGGTGTGGGAGCCCACGGCTCGGGGCACCAGTGGCAGAATCAACGCACCAGTGCTGGAACGTGAGGTGTGCCAAACCTCAATAGCGCAAGACACCGGTGGGAAAGCGGAAAGAGGAGACTAGAGGGAACGAGGCTTGAAACCCCGTGGGGAAAAGTTCACCAGGCTAACTAGAAGAGAAAGAGAAAAAAAAAAGTGACTGGTACGGACACGAGTTTCTCTCTCTCTGCTCACCTCTCAAAGGCAAGCAAGACAAAGAACAGGCACCATTTTGGACATACGTCATAAGCGGCGCGACCTCTGGACTGCACCTGCCCTCAGCCAAGCAGAAAAACCTGACTCTGGGGGTGTGAAATAACAGGAGATTAGGACCTAGTGAATGGGTGGTCCTAATGAACTGAGACTGTGAAAAAAGAGACGGTGGGTGAGAGAACTCCCAGAATTCATGTGAGTACTCTCCAGAGACACTACAATTCGGTAACCTTAGCAACCCAGTGGGAGACTGCAGGAGAATTTGAGTCCACACTGAGGGCAGAACAGATTCCCTGCATGGTCCTTGGGAAAGAGCTTCCGATGTCTGGCTCCTGTGGGTATATCATTCGCCTGCTAACTACCTTCAATTCTGTTCAGCTGTGCGGAATTACTTCCCTTCTGAATCAAAAGAAAAGAAAAGAAAAGAAAAGAAAAGAAAAGAAAAGAAAAGAAAAGAGGGAGGGAGGGAGAGAGAAAGAAGGAAAGAAGGAAAGAAGGAAAGAAGGAAAGAAGGAAAGAAGGAAAGAAGGAAAGAAGGAAAGAAGGAAAGAAGGAAAGAAGGAAAGAAGGAAAGAAAGAAAGAAAGAAAGAAAGAAAGAAAGAAAGAAAGAAAGAAATTGATTTACCATGCCTAACCTGGGAGTGTCACCTTTGGCACACCCTTAACCCTGAGGAACCAAACAGTGAAACATAAAGAAAAGATTCTAAAATGTGCAAGAGAGAAACGTCAGATTACTCTCAGAGGATCTCCAATTAGACTCACAGCAAACTTCTCATCAGAAACCCTACAGGCTAGAAAGGAATGGCAAGACATAGCCCAGGTACTAAGAGAGAAAAACTGCCAGCCCAGAATATTATATCCTGCAAAGCTCTCATTTGTGAATGAAGGTGAAATAAAGACCTTTCATAGCAAACAGAAATTGAAAGAATTTGTTGCCACTCATCCAGCCCTGCAAAAGATGCTTAAAGATGTGTTACACACAGAAACACAGAAACACGGTCATCAATATGAAAGAAGGTAAAGGAAGGAAACCTCACAGCAAAAGATCACAGGAAGTTCAAAACATATATTAGAAAATATCTTTGGGAAATGGCAGGGCAAAGTTACCACTTATCAATAGTCACATTGAACGTTAATGGCTTGAGCTGTCCAGTTAAAAGACACCGATTGGCTGATTGGATTAAAGAACAAAACCCATCTATTTGCTGCTTATGTTCAGGTGGGAAGGAAAAGTGAAACAGAAGATTAAATATATCTATCTCTCTATATTTTTTTAAAGATTATTTATTTGAAAGTCAGAGTTACACAGAGAGAAAAGGAGAGGCAGAGAGAGAGAGAGAGTCTTCCATCCACTGGTTCACCTCCAAATTGGCCACAACCGCCGGAGCTGCACCTATATGAAGTCAGGAGCCAGGAGATTCTTCCAGTTCTCCCATACAGGTGCAGCCTACTGCTTTCCCAGGCCATAGCAGAAAGCTGGACTGGAAGTGGAGCAGCCGGGACTTGAACTGGTGCCCATATGGGATGCCGGCACTGCAGGCAGCGGCTTTACCCGCTATGCCACAGTGCTGGCCCCTATGAAATCTTTATTTTAATGGAGGGAATGACTATCATAGTACTTTGAATTGTGTATTAAAGCTGGTTTTTAGAAAATGACATTAACATTCAATAATTGGGGCATGTTTTTGGTTTAGTGGTTAAGATGTCACTTGAAACACTCGTATCCAATTTGGAATATCTGGGTTCAAATTCCAGCTCTGTTTCCTGTCCCAGCTTTCTGCTGGCAAATACCCTGGGGGGTAGTAGGTGATGGCTCAACAAATTGGGGCTCTGCCACCCAGGTGGGAGACCTGGATTGAGTTCCTGGGTCCTAGCTTTGGCCCTGCCCAGTTTCAGCTGTTACAAGCATTTTGGGACTGGACCATCATAGAATCTCTCTCTCTTGCTCTCATTTTCCTTCTTTATCTCTCTTTTTCTCACTCTCTCTGCTGTTCAAATTAATAAATAATTTTTTAAAAGTTAGTAATAAATGATAATAGCATCTATCATTTATTATATTCTGTGATAAAAGGAAATTATTAATTAAGGTTGCCTGGAATTTAAAATATCAAGATTTCTTGTTAATTCTTTTGTAAAAAAATTCTCTTTCATAACTTCTTTCTAAAGACAAGGTCAGGAAAGACAAATTTAACTATGTAGATGACTATGATTATGGAATGATTAAATTTGGTCTTTCTTAAAATAGGTTTGTAAACTGAGAACTACGGGCTTGTCTGCTTAGAAAAACCAACTCAAATCCATTCACGAATTAGCATTAAAGAGAATATTCTGATATCCTTGTTTGGACAATATCCAGTATCATATAAATTTCCTATAGTAATATTTTAGTTATTCATTCTTTTATTGGCTAGGTAGTACAGGAGGGAAAATAGTAACAGTTCAGCCCTTAAACTATGTGATAGTTAAAATAATTGAGGAAAACAAATCTGATATTAAATATTCAAGTATTCTAGAATTAAACATTATAACCACATCTTATACATATTTTGTATCTGCAGTGCCATGTATGGAAACTTAGCTTAGTTACAAATATCTTTCTCTTCTTTGGTTCATTTTGGGGTTATGATTTCATTTCAACAGGAAGAAGGTATTCTTTTGTAGAACAATTTATTATGCAAATAAATGTCTCTTAATCATCCTGAACCACAATCTCACAGCTTGCCAAAGACTCCACTGTCTCCTCCAAAAGTAATATTCAACATGATTAAAGTTCAGGGCATTCTACGAACATTTAAGATCATTTCAAAATATTATTATTTATAATTTTACAATATGTGACCTAACAGGTTGTCAGGGCAACACTTAAAGTAATTTCTCTTTCCAATTATATTTAAAGATTTTTCTCATCAATCACTAGAAATGCCTCTAGACAGAGGTGTGCTGAATAAAAATGTGGGTTGTTTGCCAATACCAGAACATTTCTTCTATAGCTACTATAGATTCAAGTACCTACTTTGGGGAAAATGTTCTCAACGGAAGTTTCAAGGTTAATGTTTCATCCCAATTATGTTCTTAGAAATGTTATTTCAAAAAAGTGTTTCTTCTGTGTTTTTATTGACCCAACCCCCAACTCCAAATACAACTAGTTTTTAAGTGATTGGAAGAGTTAAATCCCAGAGCCATTCATCTCTGTAAAACTGTTGTCCCTGGCAAACAGAGAGGCAGCAGTCACTTCCCCATTCATTCCCATTTCCCATTTCCACCTGGGAGAGTGACCACAAACTTGCTTCCTCTCTTTCCTTTTCCTCCTGTTTTTCTGTCTCCACCATTCCATTTACCTGTCGGCCTTACTTTACCTCCGCTGCTTTCTCACACAGACCGCCAGAAACCCGGCAAGAAGAGAAACACATTCATGCCCTACATGGCGGCAAATCATATTAATGAGAAAAGATCACAGTCTTTCATAATCCCCTCGGCAGTGCCACTGTAACTGAGTCCTGTCCAGAAGGAGCAGACTCTGCTTCCAGTACACAGCTCCAATAGGCACAGGTGGTGCCCACAAATTAACTCCTTTGTAACCTCACTGTTTTCAATACTCAGAGGGCCTCTCTCATTAGTCTTATAAAATAAAGTATGAAATTCCAACATCAAATCTCATGCTGTTAAATTAACAACATCACACCGCTACATACGACTCGAATATCTCCCATAACTTTATGACTGGAAAAACACTGTTCAGATTTCATTTACCAGTTTAAAAATAGCAAACCCTAACTTGAAACATTCACTCACACTCATACACAAATACATACACAATTGTGCACTCTCACTAATATTCCTTCTCAATGCTAGGCAAATATTTCTTCCTATAAATACAAATAAAATTCAGCATAATCACAAGCTTTAAAAATTGGATTTGTCAAAAGATGTTTGTTGTGAAACAAATCAAATAGAAAATATTCCTTCGATCCAAAATGACAAACCACAATCTGTGTGTGGTACAACAACCATTATTTATCAATCTATTTTTAATGTAATTCAAAATTATTTTAACTTGAAGATCATCCACAGATTATATCCCTGCCCAGTGAAATCTCCTGTTCTTGGGTGGGAGGATGCTGAGTAAGGTAAAATTTATATTTCAGACATCTTAAAATGCCCTCATAACATTTTTTAATAAATGCAGAGAATGTCTTCGAACTTTGTCACTTTGTAGATCCAGACATGAACTAAAAACACACTTCAGAAAAGATGATCACAGACCACAGCACGTCCAGCACAGTCTCACTGTGCTCAGTAAACAAGGAGGGGTTACTCTTTGTAAGTGGCAGAAACACTCATCATACACAAGGCACTCCAAGTAAGTTTTGATAGAAGCTACGTCACAAACTCACCGCTGGATGTAAGGGTCAGGGCAGTACTGTAGGGTGGCACACCGTGAAGTTTCAAAATTCATTTCCTTCAACTCTCTTTGATAACAACAGATGGAAAATTATAGAAAATAGACACATAGACCTGTGTAGATATAGATGTAAAGCCAAGAGGCTAAAAGCAATAGGGTCAAAAGCTATCAAACATAGAAGTTGAGACACTTCCTCCCTTCACACATATTTGCAAGGAGGCGGAGCGTTTCTTGATTTTAGCCAATGAGATTAATCAAGTGACTCAAACCTCATAAACAGTCGATTCTTACCAGCTGGGCATCCTCTCTAAGGTTGTTCTTACCCCTGTAGCACAGTTTTAGAGTCCTTGATGTATAGTAGCCACCCTTCTTGTTGGCAATTTGGAGGCATCGTTGAACTTCTGATCTCTCTCGTGATTGGATGTTGGCATGAATGGCATCAGAGTTTAATTTCAGCAGCCTGGACTTTTGTAACAGATCTGAGCTGATGAGAGTCCACCCTGCTCCAACCAAATAACATTTCCTCTGTCTGGACACTGCTCTGATTTGAGGGCTTCGGTGGCAGCTTCTGGGGTTAAAATGTTTCTGCAGAGCTGCTTAGGGAACTTTTTTTTTTTCCTTCTTCTCCACCCACCCTTCCCCTCCCCCCTTCAGTCTCCCTTTCAGCCAACCGCCTGTTGTGGTCACAATCTCAAATAGCAAAGACAGGGAAATTCCTTGATTATATTTAACCTAGAACTCGCTCTTCGTCTCAACTAAGAGAAAGAGATATCCATTCACATCTCCCTTAGAAGTTTTGCTTGCCCCAAATAAAATAAACTTTATTCAAATGCTTAAATATCCTGCTTCAAACACACACCCACAATAATTTTCTTTAAATGATATGAGAGTAGGTATTAATATGCTATATAAGAATATTTTGAAGCTTACAAAATTATTTCAAACTGATAATGAAAATATTCTAGTTTATTTCTATCTCCATCACTATCAGTCCATCACACTCCCTTATTTATGTCTTTTTATTTTTATGATGTTGGTTTCCTTTGACTTGACCTCCTTTGGAATGAAACTGTAAAATTGTTCAGAAATTCCAAAACTTAATATCAGGAAAAGTCTACATACAGAAAAATTTCCTTCCTTTTTGAATATGACTGAAAGCCTATGTTGGCTTTGTGGATCTGGAAATTGAATGAAACATGATTCAGAAGCTAAATTAGAATAGACTTCAACAGAGAAAGAAATGTGTGTTCCCAGTGTCTCTAACATGGCATGTTCACATCTTCCATTCATTCTTTAATCACAGGACACCTGTAAACTGGTGACATCCCAGATGTCAAAGTTGTGAGACAATCTATAGTTCTTTTCAGGTAAATTTGGTATTTCCCTATATGAAATTCTAGTTCAAAATGTGTTTCATAAAAATACTTTATTTATTGCTTCAGCGGGGATGGAAAGGAGAAGCTATTTAAAACTTGACATTCTCTTCCTTTACTTAGCCTGAGAGTGTCTAACATCTGTGAATTGTAAAATTCACAAACAAGCTGCCCTGAGCTCAAGCCAAATCAAACAGCTTGTTCTACAAAATGTGAAACTTGAAGGGAAGATCATTTTGCTAATTAATTATAGATTTGTTAATTGGAATTAAAGTGTTTGGCTTGCTTCCCTGCTATTCACAAATACACATGACTTGAAATCAGAGTTCTGAATTGAAAATCATCTATTTCGTGTGACTCTGGCTAACTGGTTCCATCACATTGGGCACACTTTCCCCATTTATAAAATGAGAAATGAAATGATGGTGTCTAGTGCAGAGCTTCTCCAATGTTAATGTACCTATGGATCACCTAGAATCTTGCTAATGCAGATTCTGGCTCAGTAGGTCCAGGGTGGAGCTCAAGATTCTAAAATTGCTAATACATCCCAAGGTTACACCATTGCTACACAGCTCTTTGACCACACTTTGGAGTAGCAGGCTTTCCAAGTTTAATATTTATCAATTAATGGCTCTAGGAAATATCAAAAAGCTCTTCTAAATCATATTTTAATTATCATCCTAGGCTATAAAATTTCAAAACAATCAATTTGTAAACATTCTGAGTATGTTCTTTAACTTTAAAAAGTTCACAACCTATTTTATTTTTAAAAAAGAACATTTAAAATGCATGCCATGGCATCTATATTTTATATAAAATCTTAAATTTACTTAGCTAAGGACTGCTATTAAAAGACATTACTTTATGTAAATAATATGAAAAGTATGGTTCTCACTGTGTTATGAAAATAGAGTTATCTTGGTTATGGGAAAAAAGGCAAACTTTCTAAAATTCAAATAGCACACTTGTAGCACACAGGCAGCCACAACTTTGGAAAATAAGTGACAATGATATTGTAATTACCATAATTGTCTCTTATATTTATATTGCATCCTTTTCTCCCCAGGGGACATATGTAATTATTCAAATGTATAAATTATTTTTTGGTATACAAGTTTGATGCTTTCCCAAGACTTTAAGTTTATTAGGCAGAGCTTGTAATAAAATAAGGTACACAGAAGCCTAGCACATGACCTGATTGCATGATGTTCCTTGAAGACTTTTGATTTGTATGAAGTGAATAATAAAAGGCTTAGAGCCACAGCAGTATTTAAGACATGCAACACAAGACATACTATAGAGAAAGGGACACTTTCTTCTTTTCAAACTCCTGGCAGCCAAGAATGTACAATCTGCCAAACTCCAGTATTCATTATACAAACCTTCTCATTTATAGCTGTGAGAATTATGTCACAGCTACACTTCTTTATACACAGTCACCTCTATGATACATAATTTTCTGGTTGCTCTCCTGCATTGACTCTTATTTTGTTTTTCACCAAGAATGTTTTTAGGGGTGGGCATTGTATCGCAACAGGTTAGGCTACTGCTTGGGATGACTGACTATATCCCATATCCGAATGCCAGTTGGAGGCCAGGGTACTCCGTGCTTCTGATCCAGCTCCTTGCTATTCCATGCTTTTGATCCATCTCCTTGCTAATGTGCTTGGGAAGGCAGTAGATGATGTCCTGAGTAACTAGATCTCTGCCACTCATGTGGGAGACCAGGTAGAGTTCCTGGCTTTACCCTGTCCCAGCCCTGGCTTGTGGGGAAATTAGTTACACAAAGCAATTCAAAGATGGTGCCCAGAGGAAGTAAGTTGGGCAGAATCCAAAGTTGTTTACCACTAAAGCTAACTGGCCATGCAACATCAGCGGAGGTAACAAAACTAGTAACAAGTGTATAGACATATGGCTAGTCCTATAGAAATCATCCCGTAAAGTGACCCTTTAAGTGATTGTTTGGTCCTTATGCCCTGCCCCAATGACTGCAGTTTTGTGCTTTAAAAGACTTTGCTAGACTTGACTCCCCGCTGCGTCTGATTGTCTCCAGGATCAGGAGGCTGGGGAACGGACGAGCGGCACACTTACCTTTCTTCTTACCCAGTCCATCCTCGTACAGGTGGATACTGCACTGGCTACTGTGGATAACTGGAGAATGAATTAGCATTTGGGGAGTGAACCAACAAAAGGAAGATTCATTCTCTCTCTGTCTCTCTCTCTCTTCCCCACACCCCATTTATGCTACTCTGTCTTTCAAATAAATAAATAAATAAATAAATAAATAATTTTAAAACCCATCTGCACAAATCTGCTTTGTACACATCTTTTTTTTTTCAAGATTTATTTTATTTATTTGAAAGAGTTACAGATAGAGGTAGAGCCAGTGAGAGAGAGAAGTCTTCCATCTACTGGTTCATTCCCCAAATGGCCGCAACAGCCAGACCTGAGTTGATCCGAAGCCAGGAGCTGAGAGCTTCTTCCGGGTCTCCCACATGAGTGCAGGGGCCCAAGTACTTGGGCTATCTTTTACTGTTTTCCCGGGCCAGAGTAAAGAGCTGCATTGGAAGTGGAGTAGCTGTGACTAGAACGGGCACCCAACTGGGATGCTGGCACTGCAGGCCAGGGCTTTAATCTGATGCACCACAGTGCTGGCCCCTCGTGCACATCTTTCAAAGACCAGGAAGACTCCCTCATTCCTCCAGATAAAAGGAATCTACCCTGCCTCTGATGTCGTAAATCATTATGATACGCAATCATTCGTGCAAGAGTACCTACAATTTTCTTTCTAGGACTTTTTTTATTTATTTATTTTTATTTTTGACAGGCAGAGTGGACAGTGAGAGAGAGACACAGAGAGAAAGGTCTTCCTTTACTGTTAGTTCACCCCCAGTGGGCGCCGCAGCCGGTGCACGGCGGCCGGCGCACCGCACTGATCCAAAGCCAGGAGCCATTTGCCTCTCCTGGTCTCCCATACGGGTGCAGGGCCCAAGGACTTGGGCCATCCTCCACTGCACTCCCGGGCCACAGCAGAGAGCTGGACAGGAAGAGGAGTGACCAGGACAGAATCTGGCGCCCCGACCGGGACTAGAACCTGGTGTGCCAGCGCTGCAGGTGGAGGATTAGCCTATTGAGCCGTGGCACTGGCCCTTTCTAGGACTTTTTAAGTAAAATTTATCTCATAGTATTAGACTATGAATAACTGGAGAAGAACTTGCTGCCTGATTCATCTCTATCTCCAGGGACTGGCAAAATGTTTCACAATGGATAAATAATGTGTTTGTATTTTTGCAAAAATTATCTAATAAGTATTGTTAACTAAAAGAATTTCCATAAAACACTTGATTTTTAAAACAATTTTGATTCACTTATTTTTATTTGTTTGGAAGGCAGAGACACACACAAACACACACATACTCACACACACACACACACACACACACAGATTTTCTGGGTGTTTTCTCAAAATGCCCACAACAGCTAGAAGTTTGGGTCAGGTCAAAGTCAGGAGCCAGCAATTCAATCAGGGTCTCCCACTGGGGTAGCAGAGACCCAAGTACTTGAGCAGGACGTTGGATTCAGAAGCTGAGTAGTGACTCAAACCCAGGATCTCTAAGATAGCATGCAGGTGTCTTACTGCTGTACCAAAAGCCCTGCTTGGTTTTTTGAATAAACATTACTGAGCTATAAATTGCATATGATGAAAGCTGCCAATTCTAAGTGTTTAGTTTGGGGAGTTTTTGTTTTTGTTTTGTTTTGTTTTGTTTGGGGAGTTTTGACACACACACCAGTTATCAGTACAGCAGGACTTGTCTTCCCAAATTCATGCAGATGTTTGAATTCCAACGTCTTAATGTTAATGGCTGATGGATTAAGGGTGGAGATGTTACTTAATTTGGTGTCTGAGAAGTGGGTCTGTTGGGAGGGCTTAGGGCAGTAGGGGCATTCCCTTGGAGGGTGGTTCTCACAAGAGGGTTGTTATTTTTAAGTTCAAGTTTGGCCTAGGTTCTCTCTCAAAATGTGATCATTCCTCCATATGTGCCATGACCAGCCTCCACAGACACTCCTGTTGGCCACCTGATTCAGAACTTTAACTTCCAAACCATCATCTGAAACAAACCTTTTCT